CTACACCTGTGGCCCAGCCATAGGTGGAGTCCCACCAGGTCTCCGTTATCCCTATAAGATTGTAGTGATTCTTGTTTAGCAGGAGGACCAGTTCCTCCTGTTTGTTCCCCAAGCTCCTGGCATTGGTGTACAGGCACGTAAGTGTCCCACTGGGGGCCCTTGCCTTCCCTACGGATCGTTCTGGGGCTAGGGTAGGGGTGGGCTCCCTTAAGGGCCTTAGCCTGCTGGATTTACAAAGGCTGCCCAGTGGGCTTGCAGTGGCAGTAATCCCCACAGCCTCTGGTGGGCTTACTTTAAAGCTCGGTCGAGCAGGTCAGCCAGTCTGGCTGAGAAAAGCCTCCTCCCCAGTGAAGTGAGGTGGAGGCTGCCTCTCCCCAGCAGACCACTGCCTCTCTCACCAAAGAGCAGACTGTGATCGTGGAAGCCGAAGCCAATGACACCAGCGCCACAGTCTTTGGTTGACTACCTCGACCTCTCTCCCTCCTCTGCCCATGGCCCACAACCAGGAGGAATGAGGGAAAGACCACCTGCGCCCCCCCATAAGCCACACTCCCAGAGCCCCGTAGTCTCTCATGACCTGGCTGGGATTGCTCCAAGCTGTGTCATTCGTGCCCACATGGATAAGGAGCAGCTGGAGGGCCAGATAACCTTTGAGATCCTCTCTGCTATGTCCCGGATGCAGGCCCCTCGGAAGTAGCAGACCTCCCAGGCTGGGGGTCGGGGCGGCAGATTGCCCCCTCAGTCCCCCTCAGGAGGAAGTCTCCCATGATGACCACTCTGCGTTTCATCTCAGGGAGAGTAGGGGTGGGTGATCCTCCCATGCCTGCAGGAGCTGGCATCTCTGCAGGCTCTACTGGGGCTGCAAGAAGTTCGTACCTGTTGCAAAGCCCCAGAGGGGAGGGGACCTTGGTGTGGCAGGCCTTGGGGCCCTTGACTACCTTGGTCCAACCCCCTAGCTGGACAGTATGGGAGACCCCTGAGTCCTCCCTTGTCCTGGAAGGTGACCTTGGTCTACCCTCCGCCTCCAGGGGATGAAGGGCCTGGCAGTAAGAGTCTATCTCCTGCTCGCCATCCCTGATGGCACGCCGTCTCTGCACTGCGGCCTGGAGCTCCTCTGTCTGGTGCCCTAGAGACTCTGAAGTGGAGCAGACCTCACAAGGGGAGGTGGCCATGCTCCCAGTCCCATAAGCCTGGAAACGTGCCAGGCAGCCCCCGCAGCTGAGAGCCAGAGGCTCCATCTGCATGGAGGCCTCTGAGGTGCCAGAGGGGGAGGCCGCAGACTCTGCGGGGACCCTTGAGGTGCAGCGTGTGCCCATCTGCAACGTGCCACTGGTGGGCCAGCTACTGGTGGGACTACCTGCCCTGCAACTCACTGGCAGGGCCCCGGGCCCTCCCGCACCCCTCATGTGTGAACTCCTGCACTAACTTGGGTGCTGGGCCCAGAAGCATTCCTGTTTGTGCGTCCTATTTGCAAGGCTCCAGTCGCGTGGCTCCCTGGGGGGCTGGGCGAAGTAGGAACTGTGGGGGGGGGTCATGACCCTCTTTGACTCCACTCAGCTGCCTTCCTGCTGGGCTACATCCCTCCCACCATGGGCCCCTGCTTACCTGTAGGTACGCTGGGGCTCATTGGGGCCCTGGGGTCTCTTTGGGGGGTGCCTGGGCTCATAGGGATGCAACAGGATTTCATCTGTGCTTCTCGCACTGAAGCCAGGACCCACATGCAGCTTCTGCCGTTGCCAGGCCCTTTTTAAACTGTGCGAATGTGCAGAAGGGCCGGCCAGCACCACGCTGCTCTCAGGGAGCTAGGGGGGTCCCTCCCCCCCACCGAAGGAGGGGACAGGTAAGTGCTCCCCAAACCTGTCTCATGTGCTGGCAGCCCAATCGTGTGGCTCACTGGGAGGTTGGGCCAAATAGGAGCCAGGTGGGGGGGCATGACTCTCCTCAGCTCCATTCAGCTGCCTCCCTGCTGGGCTACTTTCCTCCCACCACAGGCCCCTGCTTACCTGCAGGCAGGCCGGGGCTCGTCAGGGTCCTGCGGTCTCTTGGAGGGGATCCCTGGGCTTACAGGGGCACAATGGGCTTTCACCCATGCATCTCGCGCTGGAGCCGTAGTAGTAGTAGCACTAGTTTATTTATAGCTTTTATCAAGACAATACAATAAAATAAGCAGCACAAATTATATACACTAAAATAACAGTTATGTAATATATACTTTTTGTGCAAAACATACAAGTATCCATTCTATAAGCTTATATCAAATTAAACATGACATAGTGCATGCAAAAAGGATAAAATGTTGTGAACATTAACACTGAATTCTATTTCATGTCGGCCCTTTTTCTTTGAACAAGTAATGCAAATACATTTAAGGAGCGTAGGACAGGCTCCAAAGTGTTAGAAAGAAGCCAAATTGTTTTTCTTCATTAACACAGTGTTTAAAATTTCTCCGTTAATGGAGGAATCTGTTTTTTCCTCATTTCTTCAAAAAACAAACATGCCCCCAAATAATGATTCAAGTCACCTATCTCATTCTACCCTCAAGAGCATATTCTGCCCAAACATAGGGTCCAACACCACCTGTCCATGACAGCTGCAGATCTCATCAAGTGAATTTCAATCTCGTAAAGGCATCTAGTGGTCTATAGTTTTGTACCACAGATAGGTAAGTTTCTAGGCTAAAGTGCTGTTTTATTAATCTCAAAAAAGGAGGAGTTTGTGGTAGTCTCACTGCTAGTATATCCAGTTGTGTTCTGGCATCTTCAATTTTTAATCTGACATCTTGTTTTAAATACAGGGGAAATATTGGACCTGTGAGTTTCAGCACATTTCCCAGGCCATTTGCCTGGAAGACAATGCAAATGTTATTTAACCATCTAAACCAGGGTTCATTTAGCAAAGGAAATTCTAGAATGCACATCTTGGTTATCTAGTAGGCATAAAAGACTTAGTTTTCATTACAGTCAGCACTTCAGAGTTCTGCTTTATACAATAAAATGAACTCTATCTTTGAACCATGGATATTTAAGGTGCCTACGCACGTGCAGCAACACTGCTCTGACATGCTGTAATTATGGCACATTGGAGCAGACTTGTTGAATTGAGTCTGCTGGAGTGCAGTAGTTACGATACTCCAGCCTCACATGTCTCGGCCTCCTCACAATGACAAATGGAGGTGGGGATACTTGAACTGAAGCTTGTTCAATGAGCTTTATTTAAAGTGCCCCCACCACCATTGTTCAGTGCAGGGATGCTGCTTATGCACATGACACTCCAGGCACTTTAATTAAAGTGGCTCTGAGAGCCACTCTAATTAAACCACCCCACTACCCCCTCAACTTCTGTAGCACTTACATAAATGCCCTTAGTGCTTCCAGCACCACTCTTCTGGTCATAGTTTCATAGTTTCTAGGGTCGGAAGGGACCTGAGAAGATCATCTAGTCCGACCTCCTGCCATGGCAGGAAAGAGTACTGGGGTCAAACGACCCCAGCAAGGTGTTC